AGCCTGTAATCCCAAAGTGCTGAACCACCCAAAGTGCGGGATTACAGGCTGAACCACCGAGCCCGGCCAACTGTAATTTTTTAAAAGATGGAAGACTATGTAGAGAACTGAGTCTGGACTATTCAATCACTTACAAAACCTAAAATGTCAGAAAGATGATCCTGTTAATATATGACCCTTAATATGTTCCCATCAGTAATACAAATGTGGAAAATAAGACTGGATAGCAGAACATTATTTACTATGTAGGTAAGAGCTACAAAGTATAAGTGACAGAATCATTTAATGCAACTAAGGACTGTGTTTTTAAAAATTGTAAATGTAGTGTCAATAACCTGCCATAGCACCCAAGATTTCAGAATGAGAAGGAGCTCAGAACTCACCTTTGTCAATATGAACTTCTAGGATCTTCTTCTCCCGAACTATCTTCCTTCCATTGCAGCTTTTACATCTATCTTTAGGACTGATCCGTTCTCCGTGACCCTGGCACTCCATGCACACAGATTGAATTTGCTGAACCATTCCAGGTCCTATCTGATGAATTCTTATTTGCATTCCAGTACCTCGGCAATTGGGACAGCACTCTACTGCTCCTTTCTTACCACCTCTGCCTAAACAGTTTAAAAGAAAAATAATGAATTTAGTAGTGAATACAGTTAACAAGTGTTTTAGTAAAATAATTCTTAAATACTGTTTCTTGATGGAATGCTGTTCTATGAATGTACAAAACTCAGTTTTTAAAAAAGGAGGCATTTCATGATCTTGAACTATAAATATAAATATGTTCCAAAATCACAATTCTTAAGATTACTTCATCTGTGAGATGAGACCATTTTAATGAGCGTATTCACTTTGGATGATACCATATTTTCAACAAATAACTTGATTATAAAACCAGTTTGATCCTGATTGCATTCAAAACATACAGAAGGCCTGTATGCCAGCACTTTGGGAGATCAAGGTAAGTGCATTGCCTGGGTCCGTGGGTTCGAGACCAGCCCAGCCAACTTGGTGAGACCTTGTCTCTACAATAAATCAAAAATTAGCTGGGCGTGGTAATGTGCGCCTGTAGTTCCAGCTACTTGGAAGGCTGAGACAGACGGATCGCCAGAGTCCAGTAGGTAAATGCTGGGGTGAGCATGCCCTTGCACCCCAGCCCGGGCGACAGAGTGAGACTCTGACTCAAAAAAACAAATAAATAAAATAAAATGCACAGAAAAAAGTGCTGATTTCTCTAGACGGTGAGTTCTACTTTAGGTGGTTGTTTCTTCATACCTGAATCCCAAGACCTAGGTGTGTACATATGCTAGTTTTATATGTCCAGAAAGTCTTTGGTTCTATTTTCATTAATTGTACTAAAGATGTCAAAAAATCTTACCAACCACTCTACCTGGCAGGAAAATACAAACAAAAAAACTCCCCAAAACCCCCACATACCTTCACATTTGTCACAAATCACATTCTTTTGCAGAGCCAGCTTTCTTGTTGCACCATTATATAAATCTTCTAAGGTTACTGAAAGCTGGTGCACGACGTCCTTACCTAAAACACAATTATTTCTCATCAAAAATCTGTTTATTTGTGCTAAAGTACTATAAAAAATGGCAAATAATGAAAGACGAGCCTTACAGGGTACATCTGTTGAATACTTTCTATATATACAGAATGTTCATCATGTTATCACACATGATCGTCAAACTATGAAATTAGATGAAAAAAATTGGGTCAGAGAACAAGTATTTTCCTAAGGACACAGACGTGGCCACCTCAGAAATATGGTAATCAAAAACACTAGCTGCAAAACACTTTTTTTTTTTTTTAAACCAATGGTGTTTAAACAGGCATATTTCACAATAATCCAAACATTCAATTCTGTCACAATATATTGTTTGAAGCTTTCACTTAGTGTGGTATTGAGCAACATGGCCAATTACTTCATCTAAAAATTCTTTAGCACAGTAAATTCTCATTAATCAAGACTGGCCAGCTGGGCTCGGTAGCTCAGCCTATAATCCCAGCGCTTTGGGAGGCAGAGGTGAGTGGACTGCCTGAGCCCATGGGTTCGCGACCTGTCTGGGCAACTTGGCGAGACCTCATCTCTACAGTAAGTCAAAAATTAGCCGGGCGTGGTAGTTCGCGCTTGTAATTCCGGCTACTTGGAAGACTGAGGCAGAAGGACTGCTGGAGCCCAGCAGGTCGAGGCTGTGGTGGCCAAGAGCATGCGCCTGGACTCCAGTCTGGGTGACAGAGTGAGACTCCAACTCAAAAAAAAAAAACAAGATTGGCCAGGGAAGCCGATGTATGAGTCACCAAGAAGGGTACCAATTCCTACATCTTTCTGATTTAGTAGAAAAGAACACATTTGCTGCTGGGTCAGATCTAGTTGTTTTAAAGGCTAAGTTTCTTATACCTTTTTTATAATAGCATTATTCAACAGACTTCCTGCAGTAATTAAATTTTTTTGTGTTTTTGAGTCGGGCGTCTCACTGTGTTGTCCAGGCTGGAGTGCAGTGGCACAATCATGGCTCAGTGCAGCCTTGACCCCCTAGGCTCAGGCAATCCTTCTGCCTCAGCCTCATGAAGTAGCTGGGACCACAGGTGCCTGCCACCATGCCTGGCTAATTTTTTTTTGCTTTTTTGTAGAGACGAGGTCTGTGTTGCCTAGGCTTGTCTCAAACTCTTGGGCTCAAGCAACCCTCTAGCCTGCCCTCTCAAGTGCTGGGATTACAGGTATGAGCCACTGTGACTGGCTGGAAATATTTTGTATCTGTGCTAATATAGTAACCACTAATCACATGTGCTGGAGTACATGTGCTTACGAGGTTACTGTGACAAAGTGACTGAATGTTTTTCTTTAATTATTCCAAATTTAAAGAGCCACACGTGCCCAATGGCTACTAAGGAGTGGCCACCCTTTGCTTAAATCTTAGAATGGGAAGTGGAAGGTTGAGTTCATGTAAGGACATTGAGGCTACAGATGTGAAGTCATATGCCAATAGTTAGTTAATAAGTTCCCACCTCGTGATCCTTCCATGAGGACTTTATCCAGCACAAAACAGTACTGCCTTATGACAAACTGAAAAAAGTTTTGAAACTCCTTTCTGCACAATTTGTCTATTAAACATCTATACTTTCTAATGATATTGTGAACTACCATTAACCATATCCTTCTCCTTTGTTTTTGGCATGCTGAAAGCTGCCCTTAGTACTGGGAAGGGAAAATAAAACTTTTGGAGTCTGATGGAGTGCATTTCTCTAATTAAAAAAAAAATGAGCCAGGCTTGGTGGCTCAGCCTGTAATCCCGCGCCTTTGGGAGGCTGAGGTGAGTGGATTGCCTGAGCCCGCGGGTTCAAGACCTGCCTGGGCAGCAAGACCTCATCTCTACAATAAATCCAAAAATCAGCCGGGCGTGGTAGTGCATGCCTGTAATTGCGACTACTTGGAAGGCTGAGGCAGAAGGATCGCCAGAGCCCAGCAGGTCGAGGCTGCGGTGGCCGGGAGTGGCCACTGCACTCCAGTCTGGGCGACAGAGTGAGACTCCAACTCAAACAAAACAAAACAAAAACCTCTCTTTGATGATCTAGCCACATAAGAGAGTTTGCCAGAAGTCAGGCTCAGTGGCTCAGCCTGTAATCCCACGCCTTTGGGAGGCTAAGGTGAGTGGATTGCCTGAGACCGCGGGTTTGACACCCGCCTGGGCAGCGAGACCTCATCTCTACAATAAATCAAAAAATCAGCCGGGCGTGGTAGCGCCTGCCTGTAATTCCGCTACTTGGAAGTCTGAGGCGGAAGGGTTGCCGGAGCCCAGCAGGTCGAGGCTGCGGTGGCTGGGAGCGTCCACTGCACTCCAGTCTGGGTGACAGAGTGAGACTCCAACTCAAAAAAAAAAAAGAGAGTCTGCCAGTGATAACTTTCAGGTCAGTTCTAAATAAAAAGCCACCACTACTTTTCTATGGGATAAATCATCCTAGTAATTTACTGATAAGCAAATGACCTGGAGTGTTTTTTCTTTGGAATTTAAAATTTCTGAAAAAAACCAAACAATCACTTCCTTGAGACCTTTAAATAAAAACGGAGTAAATCATTTTCTGAACCTTAAAAAGCTCATAGTGAAATTTAATGGCTTGTCCATTTCTTCTAAAACTGGGTCTACTCATCACTCCTTGTTTGTATAAATTACACTGGGAATAAAGCGAACATTGATTTCTCTTGACTGGAACACCATTTCTACAGCCTGCAAGACCACTTTTCTGCTAAAAGCTGAATCACGATCAAACAGGTGTGGGCTGTTTGGAGGCAAGGAACCTGTTTTCAGCCCTGACTCTACTGTTGGCTTGCTGTAATGAGCTAGAGAAGTAGTTTTAGGTTTCAGAACTTTAATTCACTATTGTTTGAAAAAGGCCACTGTAGTTACCTCTGAGTTGGGAGGGGAGAATCATATAAGATCTGCAAAAAGGGCTTTGAAAACTACATTGCAGCCAGGCTCGGTGGCTCAGCCTGTAATCCCGCGCCTTGGGAGGCCAAGGTGAGTGAATTGCCTGAGCCCGCGGGTTCGAGACCCGCCTAGGCAACTTGGCGAGACCTCATCTCTACAACAAATCAGAAAAATTAGCTGGGCACGGTAGCAAGTGCCTGTGGTTCCAGCTACTTGGAAGGCTGAGGCAAAGGATGACCTGAGCCTAGTAAGTCGAGGCTACAGTGGCTGGGAGTGTGCCACTGCACTCCAGCCTGAGCAACAGAGTGAGACTCCAACTCCAAAAAATAAATAAAAACTACAACATAAAAGTGGCAGTTTAGTCAGTTTGCAACATTATGCCAACATGGAATTAAGTGTAAAGATCTACTTTGACCAATAACTACTTTATTCAGCTGCACGAGGACTAGATTCTTACCTCTTCTTTCTCTCTGCATCCTTCCTCCTCCTCCAAAAAACATATCAAAGATGTCCATGGGGGAGCCAAAACCTCCACCTGCTCCACCTTCTTTAATTGCCTGTTCTCCTCCTTTGTCATATAATTCCCTTTTCTTTGCATCAGAGAGAACTTCGTAAGCTTGAGAAATCTGTTTAAACTGTTTGGGAGGAGTAAATTTCATTAAAAAAGTGTGACAAACATAGACACTATTATTAAACAAACATGATGTCAGGCAATATTAGAAACACTATCCACCTTGCAAAGGACTATTCATACATGCTTAAGCATATATACTACTTGCCTTCTCTCCTTCATTTGGATTCTTATCAGGGTGGTACTTCAAGGCCAGTTTCCTATAAGCCTTTTTCAATTCTTCATGAGTGGCATTGGGTTTGACCCCCAAAACATCATAGTAAGTGGTTTCTTTCACCATTTTCTACAGCCTGGAATAAGAACATGCAATTTTAACCAGCTTTCAACTGGTAGTTTTAATTACTAAAACCAGAGCTAAGGCTAAGCAATCTGTTCTTTGCCAAATCCGATTACAAGAACACTGCCTTCCTTAAACTTCACAAAAATGGTGACAATTCACATACACACTAGAACAGACTAAACTAACAATAATTTTAAGGAAATAACTCAAATGTCTCCTAACAGGTGGTCTCACTCTTCCATATCAAACCTTCCACACCATGTGGATTCTTCCAGTTTGTCACCCAAAGGTGGTGACAGGCAGTAGAAATCAAAAGGAGCACTAATAGGTTCAATCTACTGGTTACGATGGTAGGATTGTCTTTGGTAAGCCTGACAAACGCCACATTCGCCCCAGAAGGAAGAATCTGGGCACGGGGATGGAAGAGTGGTTTGTGAAACTGGTTACCAGCTCCGAACAGCAAGCCCTCCACCCGCCTCCCCAGCCTGAGGGGTGTTTTCCAATCACATGTCTTACAGCCTTTCCACTCTTGCTGCCGAACCCCTCTCGCCCTTCAGGCCGGCACACTTTGCATGTTGTTAGCTTCTCCCTACGCTTGGCGCCGGCCGTTGAGATTTCCTTCCTTTCTCCCTCCCACTCCGGATCGAAGGGCTGGAGGGGAAAGCCCAGCCCTCAACAAAGAAAGGGAGGGGAGACAAGGAGAAGCGAAAGCCGCAGGCTCCCGCCGGGCTCCTCCCGCAGCCCCTCGCCCCTGCCTCCCTCCGCGCGTGCGCACTGGGTCGCCCACCCCGAGCGAGAGCGGGCGGGGGGGGGCGCGGGGGCGCGCGCGGAGGGGCAGCCGAAGGCGGCAGAGCCTCGGAGGTCTCAGGCTGGGTGGGGAAGGAGAAAAGGACTCGGGTCCATTCACTGCGTGCCGGAGACGGTTGCCGGGGAACCACACCAGCCCTCCACAAAGGGAATCGTGGATCCAGGAACCGACTGCCCTCCCGCCCACGCGGTCAACCGCCTCCCGATCGCGGCTCCATCCGGCTTCCCAGCGCGGCCAATGGCGCCAGCCAGGGGCCTCGGGGAAGCGCGAGGGCTGAAACTCACCGATGAGCGGGCTGAGGCCAGCGTGGGGGAGCGGGAAGGAGCGCGCAGCTGTGGGCAGCTCGGGCAGCCGCCGCTCCTCCGCCTCTCGCCAAGCGTTCTGGAAAGTTCCGCCCGGCGCGCCGCAGCCGTCGTCTTTTGTAGCCGAGCCCGGGCGCGTCACCCGCCGGAAGTCCCGCCCCTCGCAGCCGCTGCCACCGCCCCGCGGTTACCTGGGCAACAGCGCGGGGGCGCTGGAGCCGGGAGGGGCTGTGCCGAAAGGCATTGTGGGGGTGGGTGCAAGTCCGGGTTTCCGACGCTCATGGAATCTTCTGGAGCTCTCTCGTCCACCCAGCGGGCTGAAGAGTGCGGAAGTGTTTGGCCAGAGCGGGCTTGGCCCGGAGCGGTGCAATTCCGAGGCATCTCGGGGTTCCTAAATCGGGCGACCGCCGCGCTCGCAGGGCTTCTGGGCCCCGGCGGGAACTGTGGTGTGTGTGTGGGGGGTAGCACCTCTCCGAACAAAGTCCCGCACCTCCCCCTCCCCTCGCTTCCAGCGGTGTTTGGGGCCGCTTTAGTTCCGAGCTGCGAGGTTCTGGGAACCCGCTGAGCAAGAAACACTGAGCAAGGTGGGTACAGCCCCCAAGCCAGTTGCCCAGGCCTTGGATCTGGCTTTTTTTTTTTTTTTTTTTTCCACGCGCAGTCCCCAAGCATCGTCATTCACCAGATTGCAAAAGTTGTCTGCTCTTGGTGTAAGTTTAGGTCTTAGACACTCGTTATCTGCCGTAGATCTTGCTGGCTTCTGCAGATGGAGTGAAGAGAGTCCGGGACTGTAAACAGGGAAGGGTTTGGACGGCCTTGATGCAAAACTGAGGTCCACCTTCTCACGTCAGGCTTTCACCAGGGTGGCTAACTGTAGCAGTTTGGTTATTTGACCTACCTTGGCTGGGCGCCTGTAATCCCAGCACTTTGGGTGGCTGAGGCTGGAGGAATTCTTGAGCCCAGAAGTTCAAGACCAGCCTAGGCAATATAGTGAGACCTCGACTGTACAAATAAAAAATTAGCCAGTGTGGTTAGCGCGCACTTGTCATTCCAGCTACTCCGGAGGCCGAGGTGGAAGGATCACCTGAGCCCAGGAGGTGGAGGCTGTGGTGAGCGGTGATCGTGCCACTGCCCTCCACCCTGGCCACAGAATGAGATGAGCCCCACTTAGAAAAAGAAGCCAGGCTTGGTGACTCAAACCTATAATCCCAGCACTTTGGGAGGCGGAGGCGAGAGAATTGCCTGATCTTAGGAGTTCGAGGGGAGAGGATTGTCTGAGCTCAGGAGTTTGAGAACAGTTTGGGCAACTTGGTGAAACCTCATCTCTACAATAAATCAAAAAATTAGCCCGGTGTGGTGGTGTGCGTCTGTAGTCCCAGCTACTTGGAAGGCTGAAGTGGAAGGATCACCTGAGCCCAGCAGGTCGGGGGTAGCGGTGGCCGTGAGCCTGCCACTGCATTCCAGCCTGGGCGACGGAGTGAGACTCCAACTCCAAAAGAAGAGAGAAAAACTTATTTGACCTAACTTTTAAATTCCTCCAGTCAGTGAAACAGGATTTATAATCTGCAAAGCACGTCCTTGGACTTTCAAATGTTGGGAAGGGGACATAATGGGAATTAGAGTCGGCTTACTTATTCAGTAACAGAACAAACATCAGTATTAGGACTGACGAAGCTGGAAAGGCCTGCTTCAGGTCGCTTAAACTTTAGTCGGAGCCAAAGTCAATGAACTACGAGGGAAACCGCAAGACAGAGGTCAACAGGGAGAGGCTCTTACATTAATCTGATGAAGCAAAGAAAGTTTTCCTGGGAAAGCAGTCGTTGAGCTGAGTTTTGAAGAGGGCAGAAAAGCATTCCCAGAATTGGACAAAACCCAGGGGAAGAATGTGATGTTTTTAGGAAATTGCAAGTAATTGGATACAGCTAGAGCTAAGGGAGCTGGAATGGCTAGTTGGGGAATTCACCTTTTGGTACATGTTGGTAAGCTGGTAATTTTGAACCCTAACCCTGGAAGCATCCCCATACTACCTCTGTAGCCTTGTCTCTTTCATTAATTTAAGCTGTGCATTCCTGTCACACAGAACTATCTCGAGTTTCCCCAGATGTACTTTTTTTTTTTTTTTGAGTTGGAGTCTCACTCTGTCTCCCAGACTGGAGTGCAGTGGCACGCTCACGACTACCGTGGCCTCGATTTGCTGGGCTCAGGTAATCCTTCTGCCTCAGCTTCCAAGTAGCTGGAACTACAGGCTAATTTTTTGATTTATTGTGGAGATGAGGTCTCACCATGTTGCCCAGGCTGGTCTTAAACCCATAGGCTCAGGTAATCCTCTCACCTCAGCCTTCCAAAGTGCTGGGATTACAGGCGTGAGCCACTACGCCCAGCTCCAGTTGTACTTTTACTGGGTTTGGGGGAGGTTGGAGTCTCACTCTGTTGCTCAGGCTGGAGTGCAATGGCACACTCACGGCCACCGTAGCCTCTGCTTGCTGGGGTCAGGTGATCCTTCTGCCTCAGCCTTCCAAGTAGCTGGAACTATAGGTGCGCCAGGATACCTGGCTAATTTTTTGATTTATTGTAGAAATGAGATCTCGCCAAGTTGCCCAGGCTGGTCTCGAACCCCTGGGCTCAGGCAGTACTCTCACCTCGGCCTCCCAAAGTGCTGGGATTATAGGCGTGAGCCACCATACCTGGCCAGATGTACCTTTTCACCTCTTTGTGCTTTTGCTTTGACTGACAGACCCCTCATTTTTTCCAGACTTAGGTGTTGCCTTAAAGTATTACCTTTGGTAAAAAGTTTTTTGTTTAAATCTGTGCTTACTAAAAGTCTAATATTGCCAGGCAGTGTACTTGGCTTGGTAGTATAAAAATTACACAAGCCATGGCCCCTCAAGGAGCTATAGTGAGGGAACTAGAATTTTGAGAATTGTATGATAAATGCTAATAAAGGAAGAGTATCAGAATGCTGAGTAGGGAAACCTTACACCCTCCAAATAAGTATCCCAGGCAGAGACCAGCAAGTGTGAAACATGAACAATTAATAGAGAACAATACACAAGCAGTAGTTACATAAATATTGTTCATGGGTCATAGTCCTGAAGTTCCTACTTTACTGTAACATAAATATACATTTATTAATCTAACATTAGTTAAGCATATGTATCAAGTCACTTTAACCAAGTGTTTCCACAATAAATGTTACCATGTCTGGTGTTTCTTAAATATTGTCATATGTAGTGTTTCTTTCTGCCCCAGGAACCTAACTGAAATTCCCACTACTTTGGGAAAGATGCAAATGTGGTACAAACCTGAAAATGCCTCCTTGAGGCTGCCAACATAAGATGATGAAATCTGATATTGAAAATACTTGTGAAATCTGCAAACTAATGTATTAAGTGAGTTAAATTCTTGATTAATAAAATGAGGGCTATAAAAGTTGGTTTTGAAAAATGGAAATATGTGATTATTTGTTTGTATGTGCATAAGATATTTTTGAAGGATGCATAGAATGTGTGGTATGGTTGGTTGCCGAGGCTATGTTGAGGTAGATGAGAGGGAGACATATCACGATATATTTCTTTTGCAGTTTCTGAAGTTTTAACTCTTTAAACGTGGTACTTAAACAATTAAAATCAAAATTATCTCCCCACTATTCAAGGTTTGAACCAGTAACTTCTCATCTTCAAGTTTAGGTGATTGATTTTTTTAGTTGCCTTAAAAACCATCATTACATAAGTTCTGTTTGACATTTTTTTCTTCATAGAAACCTATTTCAATTATGCTGAAAATATGTCCTGATGAATATTCTGGCTTTCCCGTAATAGAAGTTAACACTTTTAAGAAGCATTCTTATTTACATAAAATTTTTAAAAATTAGCAATAACCGTGTGATCTTTTTTCTGTAGAAATGGGATTTTTTTTTTGTCTTTTATGTTGGAGTCTCACTCTGTCACCCAGGCTGGAGTGCAGTCGCAAGCTCACGGCCACTGCAGCCTTGACCTGCTGGACTCAGGTGATCCTTCTGCCTCAGCCTTCCAAGTAGTGGGAACCACAGACGTGTGCCACCATGTCCGGCTAATTTTTTTTTGATTTATTGTAGAGATGAGTCCTCGCCAAGTTGGCTAGACTGATCCTGGACTCAGGTAGTCCTCTTGCCTCTGCCTCCCAAAGTCCTGGGATTGCAGATGTGAGCTACCACGCCTGGCCAGAAATGGGATCTTATTATACATGCTGTTTATAACTTATGCTTTTCACTCTTGTCATCTTACTGAGGATGGATAAACATACCTTGTTTTTAATGACTTCATAGTATATAGTATGCAGGCGCCATAATTTAACCATTCGCCTAGTGATGAGCATTTCAACAATTTCCAGTGTTTTACAGTGTTGCAGATAAATTCTCAAATATAACTTTGGGTACTCATGCAGCTATTTCTGTGGGATGGACACCTAGAATTGAAATTGCTGAGTTAATGTGAATGCAGATTTAAAATTGTAATAAATAGCCGGGCTCAGTGGCTCAGTCTGTAATCCCAGCACTTTGGGAGGCCGAGGCAAGTGGATTGCATGAGCCTGTGGGTTCGAGACCCGCCTGGGCAACGTGGCGAGACCTCTTCTCTACAATAAATCAAAAAATTAGCCAGGTGTGGTAGTGCGTGCCTGTAGTTCCAGCTACTTGGAAGGCTGAGGCGGAAGGATCGCTGGAGCCCAGCAGGTCGAGGCTGTGATGGCTAGGAGCATGCCACTGCACTCCAGTCTGGGCGACAGAGTGGGACTCCGACTCAAAAAAAAAAAAAATTGTAATAAATA